GCAAGGCAGGTGGGACGCTGTCCCCTGAGAGAAGTGGCTCACCCAGCACTGGCCTCAGCTGTGTCCTGGCCTCAGGGCTCTCAGCACCACCCAGGAAGCCCCTGGGGTCCCCTCACCCTGGGCATGTTTCCTTTATGATGAGAGTCCCATGTTACCCTCTTTCTTCCCCATGTTCTCAAATGCTCTAGGAAGGTGGCTTTTCTCCCAGCAGGAAGGGGACAGAGAGCCCCAGTTTCTAGAAAGGGTCCCACTAGGCGATGGCTGGTGAGGGGACCTGCTCTCTGTACCTGGTGTCTCCAGCCTGGCCTCTGAGTGGCTATCTCAGGACTTCACACCCTTTGTGTCCTGGGAGGGGAGGACTGTGGTAGTGGAGGTAGGTGACCATGGGCTCCTTGGTCCTCAAGGAGAGATTTTAGGGAGACCCTCCTTCTTCATTGTTTGGTGCAGCTGTGTCTCAGGCCTGCCCATGCCTTCCTTGGGTGGCCTTTTTCTTTTCCTTGTTGTTTTTCTTTTGGCCCCCTTGCTTTTCCCCTTGGTTGTTGCCTGGGTGCAGGGCTTGCTCAGAGACCCCTGGCTGTGCAGGGTCCTCAGAGGCCCAAGAAGGAGTGGGAGTGGGAGCGGAGCAGGTTCATGGGAGGCAACCCACAGTCTATTGGGGTTGGAAATCAGGCCACATTTCCACCTCCTGAGCCAAAGCCTAGTCCAAGTGTCAGAATCAATCTGCCAAGTGTTGACTGTGAGTCCCATGTCGCCCCCTGGTGGTCACAAGATATCCATGGGCAGTTTCAGGATTTGGATCTGAGATGCTGCCCAGTGTCCAAATGGTGCAAACTGGTTCTGACCTTGGGCACAGGTGGCTCTGACCTACAGTCTGCAGAGTGGGTCCTGTTCACCTTGGGTCCCCAGGCTGCCTGACTCTGTCCAGTGCAGGGTGAGTTAGAGGGATGATGAGAGCTGTCCTGGGATCTCCTGCTCCAGAGTAGGGAGAACTGTGCTCCCAGGGGATGGGCAGCCTCAGGAGGGGCCATCTGTTCCTGAGCCTTCAAAGGAAGGGCCTCGAGAAGTGTCTCTTGAGGCTTTAGGATGAAACTACTTGCTTTGTGAGCTGGATCTCCAGTTGGCTGGTTTGTTTCTTGGGTTTAAATTCTTGGGTCTTAGCCCAAAGGGCCTGCGGGTTTGTCGTGTGAGTATTATGGAGATTCTCTGGCCAGATACATGACACAGCCTCTCATCCCAGCTGTTCAGGAGGCTGAGGCAGGAGGATTTCGAGTTTGAGGCCAGGCTGAGCAACTTGATGAGACCTTGTATAAAAATAAAAAATTAAATGTAGTACAGTGGTAGAGTGTTCCTGGGCACAATCCCTAGTCCCTCACCTCTCTCTCTCTCTCTCTCTCTCTCTCTCTCTCTCTC